TTCTATCTATTTTATTTATTGAATTTTATTGTTTTATTTATATTTTGATTGCTAGGGATGATGCAATGATCGGGGACCATTCTTCATTTCGTTGTTCTCGTGACAATGACAATAAAGTTTCTGATTCTGATTCTGATTCATTTATTATTCTCCTCCAGTAATTAAGGTTAGGATATGTATTTTTTTTATTCCAATCCATTCTTCTTTAGCAGCATTTAAATAACCTTTATCAGATTTGATGGTTTTGTTACAGACTTTTCAAAAAAGTGTTTTGCTTTTCATTCACAAATGTGGGATTAAATTGTGTTAAAATGCACAAAACAGTGATGTCATGTTTTGAGACTTGATGAATTTAAGAATCTTTTGATTTAATAAAGAAATTTGCAGACTTGCACAGAGATGGTAAAATTATGATGACTGATAACAGAGATGAAGACAAGAGACGATGAGGACAGGGAGGATGCAGGGACCGAAAGAGACAGGGAAGAAGTCTCATTGTGACGAGTAAAGTGTATCTTGGCTGGCTGGGCAGCTCTCTGGGTGCTCAACACCTCCAAAGCTCTGATCCTAGAATCACCCCTGCATGGATCCATCCTGCTTGTACCAGTGTTTCAGGGGACGTTGTAACATTATGGGGGATTTATTTTAGCACACTTTTAGGCCCTTTGATCCAAACTTTCATGTTTGTGCTGTCAGCATGTTTTACTATTTTAGGAAAAGAGCTGAATCTGTATTAGTTTGCTTTCCTATTTCAGCACATGCAGGATTCAGTGTTCAGGTGGTCAGGTGCATCATCTACGATGAAATCTTTAAAGAAAAATGTGGTTTGTATTTATTTGTTTGTCTGATATAAAAACTTGTTATCATCTGAAATATGTAATTCTGACAAATATGCCAAAAAAGGGGAAGTCAAGAATGGACAAATTCTTTTTCATGGCACATTCTACATGGGTTTAATAAAATAGGAGAAACAGTGGGAGATATTTAAAAGACAAAGCCTATATGATGCCGATTATATAGCCTAATGACTTTTACTCACACACTCGTGTTCAGGGCAGACTGCTGGAGAGTTTGTGGCAACAGAGAAACGTTTCTTCATCATCCAAGTGACGTCTTCAGTCTCAGCTGACTGCAGGTTTCCCCAATCCTATAAACAGTACATTTGCATAATGACTGAAACCAGCCCACTGAGGGAACAATGGGCTGGGAGGTCTTTTTCTTGATTATTAGGATACAAATTATCATGATCGTTGATCAACAACCACTGATCAATGTCCATGAGTGCCATTCACAGAGAGTTGGGGAATGGCTGCAATCACAGCATTGTAAGATGGTGACAGATGTACCCTTAGGCCCCCTCCTCGATTCAGAGATGGTCTTTCATTTTTCACGTAAATGGCTTCTTTGACTCAGCCCTCAAACCAGCGTTCCTCCCTGTCCAGGATGTGTACATCCTCATCATTGAAAGAGTGTCCACTGGCCTGTAGGTGTAAATAGACTGCAGAGTCCTGGCCTGGTGAGGTGGCTCTTCTGTGTTGTGCCATCCCCCATTACTGATGGAAATCTCACAGTCTAAGAAGGCTAACCGGCCACTTTTCATATCCTTCCTGGTGAATTTGATGTGTCGGTCCACCGAGTTAATGTGATCCGTGAAATGTGGTACGTCCTGAGATTTGATTTTCACCCAGGTGTCATCCACATACCTGAACCTTATAAGATTGGGGAAACCTGCAGTCAGCTGAGACTGACGAAGTCATTTGGACGAGTGACGAAATGTTTCTCCCACTGAAAACGTCCAGATGAACAGAATCACACCTTTTCATAACTGTATATAAATACAATGTGTAAAGAGAGGTGGGGAGGCTGGTTAATGCTGGTTGTTTTTGCACTGTTTTATGAACTGATGTGCAGCACACACATTATTCAGTTGGAGTAGAAAAACCCCCCCTGAAATATCAGAGTTCAAGATTTTTTAAATGACTTTTAATCAGTTTGATGCTGTTCATTTTGGACAAATGTGCATAATGTATATTAATGCAAATGATTAAGAGATAACTGCAGAAAGTACAATTCAAAACAGCTGAATCAAGAATTAGAACAAAACCTTGTTTACACCTTTTGACCCATTGATCAGCATAAATAACACTAAATTGTTTTGGTTTTAGCATTTTCTAAATCAGTGATGTCTTTTCATTAAAAGCAAGCGTGAAGTGAATTTTATTGTAATTAAACTTGTTTTATCACATGGAAATTTGAAACATGTAATTTTTATTACATTTATTTGAAACATTGCAGATGTTTTAAATCATAAAGAACATAAACATAAAAAATAACAAAATTAACAAACACAATTTTAAACATTGTCATCCATCTACAGTGAAGTTATAATGAGACTAATATCTAAAACTAAGGTGAATATCATAATAAAAACTTTGAAACTGTTGTTAGCACAAAGCACATTTGGCTTTTCCTCATGCAAATACACGTCCACTTATGTTGAAGCTTTTCTTTAACACAAATAAATGTGTCTTTAATCTTTCAACAGTGCAGTTATAATCACTTGTTTATGTAAACTCAAGTTGATTTGAAAATTGATTTTTATATTAAAAAAAGTTTGTTTTAGTTTAGTTTTAGTTCTGGAGTTATAAATGATCAAGGGGTTCCTCTCTTTTCTCTGTTTTAGCCATGAGCTCTGCTTTTTCTTTCATGGACCTCAGAGACTCAACTCGTTTCTTCCAGCCTGGTTTGCCTTCAGATTTCTCTCCTTCAACAAGCATGTCGATGTACTCTGGAGTGGACAGAGGGTTTGGTTTAAGCGCTATCTCTCTAAGTTTGTTCAGACACTTGGCGGACCTCTCCATTAATTTCACCACTGCAGCCTGAACATTTTTATATTCATCCTTCAGACTGTCAACCAGTCCCTGAAAGGTAATCTTCTTCCCTGTGGCTTTCCGGTGCTTTTCTTTCATTTCTTTCAGTGTTCTTTTCTCTTTAACCTGTTGAATCTCCCATCTGAAAGGCATATTATGATGGTTGTCCCAGGAACATTTGCCTTCACACTGAGTACAGTTTCCATCTGATCCGATTGCACTACAGCGTCTTTTACTTGCATCATCTGGTATCTGACAGGGGTAGTGACAGGTGACACCGCATTCGGAACAGTTGGTGACATACTCTTTTTTGCCCAAAATACCCTTTTTAATACATTTTGGGACAGTAACTTCAATCTCAAAGTTCTCATTTCTGCTGATCTCTGCTTCATGATCTTTAAGTTTTTCACTCGTCTCTTTTATCTCCTCAATCTTGGCTAACCCAAGTTTCACCTGCTCCTGCAGATTTTCAACTGAAATCTCGAGCTGCTTTCTTTCTCTGAGGACTTCCTTTGTCAGTGTCAAGCTTTTAGTTTCTATGAGATTCAGAGCAGCAAAAAAGCTCTTTATGCTCTCTGTCCCCATCTCCCAAAACATCTGATCAAAACGTCCTCCTTTACCAACATCACTCCTGCTGACTCTTTCAAATGATTTATTTTCTGCAAACAAGGCTGAATTATTGAACTTGAAGTGAACCGGCAGCCCGTCTTTTGTTTTAGGACATGGGACTCCTGCAGCATTGATCGCCTCTAGAACTGGAGGTCGCTGACCGTCTGCAAATGTCACCAGGATCCTGATGTTTTCTGCCACATCTTTGCCAAAGATTGAGAGCACTGAATCAAACACATATTTCTGTGTTGCTGTGAGTCGTGCTGAAGCAGCCTGAGCTACAAAACACACAGCATCAATGTCAGTGACACCGTGTGAGGAAGTGAAGAGATTACGTATCTGCTCTGTGATCTCTCTGTCTCTTTCTATGCCTCTTGTATCTCCAAAGCCTGGAGTGTCAATAATGGTCAGAGAGAACGGGATTTGAAATCCATCCTGGTGGTTGATTTTGTAAACAGTGACTTCAGAGGTCTGACTGTGAGCTTGTGATGTTGACTGATCCTCATTAATGAATTTAAACCTGAAACTGTCCTCCCACTCGACACCAACAATGTAGTTGATCATCCCATCGATCAGAGTGGACTTTCCTGATCCTGTCGCTCCAAGAAGCATTATTGTACGATTCTGCCCCTCAGTTTCTTTACCGAAGTTAAACTTCTTGCATCCATCTATGTTCATGTGTTCTTCTGTCAGAGGCAGTTTGTAAACTGAGGGGGAATCAGATTTGATCTTTTTACTTTTAATCCTGAGAAGTTCTGCGAGGCGGTTAAATGTTGTTGTGCAGACTTTAACAGTGTTGCTTTCTTTGCTTTTTCCAGCTGAACCACAATCACATCTGACCCTGACTGCATAATCTGTATCTGTCTGAAGACCTGACAGGATCACCTTTTCACCTGCTGACTGTGTTTGGTTCCACTGCAGAGCTTCCTCATTATCATCTGTTTTTGAATACTCCACCATGTAACCATGTATCTGCACATCCTCTCCGAGCTCAGCAGGTTTCTCCCAGCTCACTGATATCTCAGTTGAATTTGGTTCAAGTCGGGGTTTTCCAGGAGGGCTGCAGGGTAAGGTTTTAATAGAAACTTGAGTATCCGGGCCGACACCTGCTGAGGTCACTGCTCTGCATCTGAACACATACTCTGTGTTTGGCTTCAGATCTCTCACTGTGACTTCTTCAGCCTTTGCTTCTGTCTTCTGCTGCCATCCATCCTCTCCACTGACACAGTACTCAACAGAGTAGGAGGTGATGTTCTCTGCTCCAAATCTGGGTGGAGAAATCTTCAGTGTCACAC